AGCAGAAATCTCATGAGTTACTATCAAGAAACAAGTATTTTTTTCTTTAATTTGGACTTGTTAATTAGAAAAATACCATTTGGTTTGCCCGTGGGCTAGTAAAATAAGTTTTGTCCTAGTTGATACGCATATATCTCTCTGATAAAAAAAAATTACCAGAAAATTATGGAATGCTGTTTTACGTCGCAAGACCCGTGAATTCCTATGCTGTGGAAAATACTCTTCCTATAGCCAGCATTTTCGGTTTTGTCGCCCGCCCCGGCTACTGCCAGGCCGCTGGCGTCGCCTCGCAGGGTCACGGGCAGCGCTGGAGGCCCCGTCCTGTCGCACAGAGGCAGCACCTCGCGCGTCTCCGCTCTCCGAAGCGCGTGAGCCCCATGGGCCCAACGTCCCCGGGGGCGCTCTGCACAGAGGGGCTCTCCCTCCCGCGCTCACGTGGAGGGCACCGAATTGCTGCCTCGGGGTTTGGGGTGTTCATAGTCACCTAGCTGCCCGAGAGCCCTGTACAGAGGGGCGGCAGAAGGGCTCTGTTTGCTTGAAGCCACCTGAAGCTTCTGGCATGCCTGATTTGCTGCCATTCGGTAGCTTTGAGAGAGTCAAGCTGTAACATGAAAAGCGTTGTTGCTTCTGTTGTAGGTTGCAAGCCTCGGTTTTATGTATGAGGCACGTGCTTCAAAATGTCATCCCAGGTCTTACAGCTTTTGCAAGCAGAGAAGAGCAGAGTGCTGCAAGATCTGAGGTTTACCTGGAAAAGTGAAATATTCTGGGCAAGAGTCTCAAGTTGAAAGCGTGTATTTTAAGATTTCCTTGGAAGACAGGGTATTTCTGAGGTTTTATTGTTGCTTTGTCTGTGATTTTACTATGGGAAACCTTTCTGCACTAGTACTATATTGAATATTTATTTCAAATTTGACTCCATGATTTTTAACTGACTGAAGAATGTTTCAGTTTGCTTCCTTCATTGAAGCTGTGTGTTCATCAGTGCTAGATTTAAAAGGGAAGGCATTTCTAAATTCTTTAAACGAGTATGCCGTGGAAGGACAGATTGGGAAATATCAATCAAGTATCTCAAGAAGAAAAAAAATTATCATGGCAAGCCTTTAAGTAGTATTTATTTACTCTTTAATACCTTAGGGCAAGTAGATAAATGTGCAGGCACTGGGTGAGATGGAAATCCCAGTGCATACCTATTTTGTTGAAACATGCTAGAGGAACCTTGCGCTTGGTGCTGAGGTGGTGGCTCTGCTTTTGGTTCCACCTAACTGCAGGATTACTGTATCCAATTGCTGGTTGTGTCCCAGAGGTAGTCGCATTCATACTATACCAGTGCGATTATATTTATGTGTAATATTCATGCATATCAAAAGAAAAAGCTCATCAGCAGAAGTTTGGCAAATACTGGGATGTTTTCTTCGCTGATTCATACACTTTTGCTTAAGTACACAATTGTTTTGCATATATTTTAAGCAACTTTAGAAAAGATATTTGCTTTATATTTTGCAGAAGGGTGGTGTGATTATTGATGGCCTGCTGGAACGTGCCATATATTCCTGTTTTCCTGCAAGAATAATCCCCCGGGGATTGTTTGAAAATATTAAAGCTGTTTATCAATTTGAAAGAGAGCAAAATATTCATTTTGTGCCCTGCATATCCTGCACTTCTTTCCTAGAGATTGATAGTGAAATTTCTCAAAAATGCTTCTCTAGCTTTCTATCTATTGAAAATGGCCTGTTTATCATTTAAACCCTCATGTGCTTTTAAAATTCAGAAAGGAGGAAGGATAATAAATTAGTCACTCAGTTAATGTTTTTTATTATGGAACAATGTTAGGGAATTGTCCTGAAATTACTTTACCAGTGTCACTGCTTTGGTTTCTTCTCATCTCTGTTTTCTCATGAAAATAAATAAAATAGTGTAGGTGAAATTAGGCAAGAATAGAATTTAAACGTAAATCATTTTGAAGAAATATTTAGAAGTCTAAACCTAAGGAATTTAGTAGGATTTACCAAAACATCTTCTTAAATTATGTTCCCAATAGCCCTGAGCCTAAAGCAAGTGTGAAGCTCCTCACCTGCCTGGGCGCTTTCGTAAAGCCCCTAGGCCCATCCGGTGATTTAGATCCCTCCTATACGTCCCGCCCTCGGTTTCGCTCTCCCAGCCCGGTGCAGGTGCCTCCAAAGCACAACTTATGTCTGAGGCAAAGATGCAGTAGGTAAATACAGTGTTTTAGCTATGGCTTGCCCAAGGCAGCACCAAATTCAGGCCTCCCTTCAGAGCAGCTCGCTTGGCTGATGTGGAGCTCTGCATTACACTGGGCCGTGGAGGTGCTGAGGAGCTTGTGCCATGCCCAGGGCCAAGGGCAGAGCTGATGGAGGAGGCTTTGGCTCACGCTCCCGGCCTGGCTGGGCACTCGCGTACGGACTCTGCACGTGCATATGCATGTGTGTGAGTGGGGGTGTGCGTGTGGATATCAGTGTTTTCCGTCGAGGACTCATGTCCTGTGGCGTGTGTGAGAGAGGAGGTGGCTGATGCACCCGCTTGAGCTGCTGGGCGGCCTGCCCTGCTTCCCAAAAGAGCTACGAGATTCATAATTGGTGAAAACAAGCGAAAGGCTCTGAGTATTTTTGTTTGAGAGTTAAACATGGCTAATTTTGCTGGGCATTTAGCAGCCCAAGGCATAACAACGGCACTAAAAGTAGAATTCAGTCCACTTGCCTCTGAAAGGATCTTCGCAATCCTAAGCCAACACGTAGCCCAAACACAAGGATACTTTATTCCCATGTGTAAGTGTGTGTGTGTGGGTCTCTGTGTGCACTGTGTTTATGTGTATGTGCATATGCATCACAAAGTACGTGCCAGAACCAGCAGCACGGCGTGCACGTTGCTTACCCCCATCCAGGGCTTTAATTGCAAGGCTAGACAGGAGTCTCAGATCGTAAGATACTTAATTTGTGACCAGAAAGGGATGATTAGATCATCTAGTCTCTCCTTCTCTGCATTACAGACTCTTTGCCCAGCTGTCTTTCTGTGAAACCCAATAACTTGTATTTGACTACAGGATAAGTTCTGCTTTTCGCAGAAATTGATCTTCTAGGGAAGTCTCCCCAGACCTCGGTATCAAGAAGTGGAGAATCTGGTACATTCTCCTTTTGCCAATTGCTCTAATGGCTAATCACAGGTGACGGAAACTATGTGCTTAATTTCTCATTTGACTCTGACATTGGCTTCCAGACATGGGTTTGTGTTATATATTCCCTTCTTTGCTAGATTAACGAGCCAATTGGTACTTACTATTTCCGTTCCATGAAAACACTTATATGCTGAAATCAAGTCATCCTTTTTTTTCCCTTTTTTTTTTTTTCCTGTTAAACTATACGGGTTGAACTCTCCAAATGTTTCCTAGTAAAGTATTTTCTTCAGCCCACTGATCACTTTTGCAGCTGCTTTCTGTGATCTCTGGGTTTTTCCTCAACTTCTTTTCTAAACTGTGGAGATTGTAATCCTACTGCAGATATTGATGGGGTAGAATATTAGCATTGCCAGTGAAAGTTTTAAAAAAAATACTTTCCTTTTGTTTGCTGCTCTCTGTTTCAAACCTTATGTTGCCATTTATTGCTGTATGAAATTGGATTTTAAGGAATTAGCTTTTATTTGCCAGAGGAAAGCCTTCTGGGTAAGGCCATCAAACTGCATAGAAAGTTGTTATTATTTATCTCTTGTCTCTTAGGTTGTTCTTGAAAATGATGGGTGTACTTGGTTCCCCTGCGCATACACACACAAGCTGTATTCTGAGCAGGAGACCAGTGTACAGTTTTTGCCCGTGGTTTTCTGGCCAGGTAGCCAAACCCGGGCTCGCTTTAGGACTGTCGCCCCTGCAGCCTCTGCTCTCAGGGCTGCCTGTGCTCTAGAGCAGCCTGGGGAGATGAGACCAGTGATCTGGGGTATGAGATCTGCAAGCAAAACACATGGAAATGTGGCCCAGCTAATTTATAAATGTGACTAGGGTAGAAGGAACCCAATACTTTATAGTTTACAGTGCTACAGTGTTACTCTTTTCTGATTTTTTTTTTACAGTTTGTGTTAAACTCAGGTGAATCTGCTGAGGCCTTCGTGGCAGATCAGTCATTTTTTTCCCTCATATTTCCCTGTAGAGCAGCCCCACAATGTCCTAGTTCTTGTTGCATTCCACAGAGTCAGGATATTGAGCAGGACTAATTTTAATATGGTAATATTCTACTTTTTTTCTATAATCAATGTTGACTGCTTGGATATTCCCATAGGAAGCCCTTGTGCATAACCCTGCCAGCAAAGTGGCCGTCGGGACGGGCTGTGGCTGCAGGTCCCAGTCCCACAGTCAGGGTGAAGCTTTTGCTGATGTTACAGGTGGACGAAGGTGCTGGCAAGCACCAAGCCAATTGGGATCAGGGCACGTGAGGGATCTTCTGGGTTACTGAGGAGGTACCCGGCTTGGCAAAGCAAATTGCCTGCTCTGCGTCTGTGTGTGTGTGTGTTGCCTAGGGTTCTGCCGAATCTCCCCGCTTCGGAGGCAGTAGGAGAGCGCTCGGTACCCCGGAGAGTGACAAAGTGACAAAGCGGGGGGTCGAACGCCGAGGTGCTGACGGGTCGCTGTGTCTTTCAGGCCTCGCGGGCGGCGGATGCGGTGAGCTCCATGGTAGCTCCAGCGCCCAGACTCTGCACAGCAGCCTGCGAGGAGCCCCCGTCGGCAGCGCGAGGGGCTCGCGA